ACGCAATTAGGAAGGACTGGTTTTCCTGTGTGGATTACCCAGAGTGGGTATCAGCACTTTTGCCATCAGTGAGATATATCCTGGGAATTGGAGAAATGGGAAGTTCAGGTGGAAATAGCAAAGGTAAAAACTAAGCAATCCAGGTGGTGGTTTCCATGTATATATTTTGGTTAGAAGGTGGCCAGTTAGTTTCCTGTCCTTACAGAGCCATAATGTACTGGTTTTTCACCCTGTCGTAACTATAGGTTCTGTTTCCATAGTCTTGCTGATTTTCAGTGGTGGCAAACGTGATGTCTTTTTTTCTGTCCTTGCAGACCAGAATGTCAGGCTTTGGGTCTGACTGTTCTTGTGGATGCTCGTCGCTGTTCACCGGTTCCTGCTCTCTTCAAGGCGTTCAGCATATTGCAGGTGAGCCTTGAGCTTGGGCAAAGGAACACTAGCTGGCTTGCCATCTTGGTTGGATGTTACATCTCCATCTGCTGCTTGTGTCATCTGCCACCTGGTTTTCAGTTGGCTTTGGGAGGTGGAGTTGTGCACCCAGCCCTGTTTTAGGAAGATGACCTGGACTTGCCAGACTGCAGACAAAGCAAAAAACCTAAGCCAGTCTGAGTTAGGGGAGAACACCCCTCCCCACCCCTCCAAATTTGCTTCTGTCTCTGTGCTGAGAACAGCCTGTACCCGAGTCTAAACAGTCATGAATTACTGTGCTTGGAGATGTTGTACCCTGCATGGAGAGGCTGTGTGAAATATGCAGGGATTTTTGCCCACCACAGAGAAGGGAGGAAGAGAAGCCTCTGCCTGCTGTGGAGGGAAGGGAAGGACACTGCTTGTCATGCCAGGTGGAAGAGCACGTGCAGCTGTTGATGTGGCTGTCAGTGAATGATTGGAATCGGACATGCTGTAACTCTCTATTGCTTCAGGTCAAAGGCTTCCATATCAGTCACTTGGAAAGCAAGTGGGTTGTGTTGCCCCCGCTCCCAGATGGAAGCTATCTGCTGCTGTTAGCAAGCCAAGGAGGTGCTGGGTTGTAGCTATGACTAATCTTGTTTAAGCAGCTGTTCCTTTTAAATCAGAGCTTAGGTCTCTTAGGACTCAAACTCTGCAAACTGGAACAGGGCAATGTTTTAATGAGGCTGGTGTCTCTGTGGTTTATGTGCTCCAGTGCCACATCTGAAAGTTGGGGCTGAGTCAGAAGTCTGTCCTTCTGCTTCCTGGGCTGGGTGGAGCTGTGCTCTATCAGTGTGCTCATTCTCTGTGGTGAAGGAGTAATCTGGTACCCTGCTCTGCTCTGCAGAGGTAACAAGCAAGTTATCTTCTCTTTTATGCTGTGCCCACATGGCAGTAGGCTTTCTGAAGCTTTTGAACATTTCATTGCCCATGGTTGCATGGTTTTGTCTTAGTGGGGTGATTTGGAAATCAGCAACATGTTGAGACACAACGTGCTTTTTGGGTCCCCAGTCTCATACAGGCATGGCAGGAATAAATCCATTCTATCCTTAATTTTCCTACCCTCTGGAAAAGGGGTCGGGGAAAGCTTTTTGCAGTGCGTCTGTAATATCCTGCTGTGATGGCCGTTTGGCTCCAAGCACCTCGTTATCAGGGTGGTGCAACAGTTAGTTAACTGGGATTTAATGTACTGCAAGAGAGATTGCTGGAGCTGAGTGTGTGCTCCAGGTAACAGTGACTTACAGAGGCTGATTACTCTTCTTGTGGTTTTTTGGTCCTTACCCTGACTGTTCTGCAGACTCTGTAAACAAGACCTGTTCAGCTAGCTCATCATCCGGTTATAGCACAGAAATAATCCCCTGGCTCCTCTGAGCCTTTTGGAGATGCTTAGCGTTTACCTCTGTGATCCCACAGCAGTACTCTCATCTGCTCTGAAACAAGTATAGAGAAATACAGAAAACTGACTGGAACTACAGTGAGGCAAGCTAGGCTCTCTAGAGCAGAGCAAGGTTTGCTGGCCAGTGGATACAGAAGCACAGACTGTATGTTGTGCCTGTAAGGTCACAAAACAGGTCATCTCCTTGGGGTCCTTTCTAAAATCCCTGACGCATCTCACTATGTCTCTTATCTATGGCAGGCTGTCTGTGGAGCTCATTTCTCTGCTGTTCTGCTCTCCACTTCAACAGGATTTTTATTTACATGGCTTTTGTAAAGACTACTGTGATAGCATGTGTGGAATCTGTTAAATGTTGAGATCCAGTGTTGCTTGTTCAATTCTGAAGGGATTTTTTCCTCTTGAGCAGTGAGGAGCACTGCTTCACAGTGGGTAAGCACAGGTTGGATGACCTAATGCAGAGTCCCTTCCTGCTGCAGTGCTCAGATCTGTTAACCGTAGAGAACCTGCCTGGGGAGGGAAGACACTGATCCCACTGGTTTCTGGGTCAAGATCTGTCAGTCTGAGGAAATACGTACTCCACTCTTCCACCTTTCTGGAATAAATGTGTGAATGGACTTTTTAAGTGCTAATAGACAACTTTTCGTGCTTGCAGGTAGCTTTCCCTAACTGTCAGTTGCTCTGTCTAGAGTCACCTAGTAAACTGGTGAAAGCTTCTCATGCTCTCTGCCTTCAGGGTGGGGGCAGTTGTATTCCACAAGACTTTCTTCCCCCTTCCTTTTTAGAATATGGGTAGCTGGGAAATGCTTCTGTCCCAGCAGACGGCACTGGGAGCAGAGGGAGCAGGGGCAGAGTAAAGTGCTGCAGCAGAGCTAACTCAGGAAGGAGCAAGGAGGAACTCTGGCAGCTCTGTATGGAGGTGAAGGGAAATGTATGTGTATGTGCTGCAAGAATAGATCATGCTTGTTCCTGTGGGAAGCTGCATAATGATGCTTTGGAGCAAGGATTTTTGCAGAAGTAAATGCTGCTGTGATGTTTGGTCACAGATTGTCACCAGTAAGCTCTGTGCTGGGGGGCCTGTTCAGAGGAACTTTGCTCAGTAGTGCTGGGCCAATCCCTTGGTCAGTGAGCAGGCAGGGCATGGACAGTGGAATGTGTGCACTGGCCTTCAATGAACAGATATCTGTGGGATTTCCCTCTGCTTGAGTCTTTATAGAGTGAGATTCTTTTGAATTTTGCGTATCAGTGCAAGTGCTTAATCCTTTAATCTGCTGCATCTGTGTGTTGGATTAGGAAGGGAAGAGTCTGTTTATGAAGACAGAGATAGAGTAGCAGTTCAAAGCGGAAAACTTCTGTGCAAACCTTTCTGTTCAAGAGGTATATTTACATGCCCTGTTACTGTAGAAGTACAGAGGACCTTGGTCTGATGTTAAAGACCAGGGACCTCCTACTACTCCAGTAGAAGTGGTCACTTTGAGATTGAACATGGTATTTGAGGACTGTCCCATCTGCATAGCCATTCCTGGCAGCCTGTGCTTCAAACTGTGCCAGTGATGGTAAGTGTGGCCATGGGCTTCCATTTGGGTCAGGAAACCAGAATACTGTTTGAAATTTCAGTCTGAGAAAGATGGAAGAAAGTACCTAATTCTCTTTTTAAAGAATAATAATAAAAGGATGGGTTATTTACCCTGGTGCTTTCTGAGCTCCTGTTGATACGTATCTATTCTACACTGTCCACACTGTGCCTGTTTTGGGAGGTGAGTTCGCTTGCATGTGTGGGACTCTGGTTCTTTGCTTCCAGATAACTGTTTTTGTTAGCAAAGGTGGTAAGAGATTGTGCAGAAAGTCGCAGGAAAGCTTCCTCAAGTAGCATCCTGCTGCTTCCAGCTCTGCCTGTCTCCTGAGGCGCTCCTGTAAACTGCCATAGTCCACTTGGATTGCTCCATCAGTGCTGGATGAGACTGACTTATCTTCAGCTGTTTAAAGAAAAAAAAATGGTGAAACCCACTTGATTTCTTTGGAAATATGACTACTTCTTGGATTGGAAACCCCTGAACTTCTCTCCTGACAGCTTTATTTGTGAATGAGTTTTCAGTCTCTATTTTTGGCAGTAACAGAACAAGCAAGTGAGTGTTTTGGCTGTTGTTGTAACCTCGTGCTACACCGTCACTACCTTTATCCCTCACTCAGATTGTGCATCTCATGACTGTTGGAGTAGAAGAGGGGTTGTGAAAGAATTTTAGTGCCATGAACTGTCTTGAAACTGTGGCTAGTCTTCACCCTTCAGTACTTTCTGGCAGACAAATTCAGACCTCCTGATACAGCTGTAATATCTCCCCATCCTCTCTTCAGGTGAGCTTTAGTATTTACCTAATACAGCCTAATTATGCAATAAATTGTTTTTGGCCTCTTGATCAGTGCTCAAATAACAGTGAAAGGGTGAATAATTTGCTTTGGAGAAAGGGATTTGAGAAGGCTGAGAAACCTCTCACTGTTTTGGGAGGTGTTTCAGTTAGACTTTTTTTCCTGCCAGTTCAAAAGGATCCTGGTTTAGGACTGGATGAGAGAAAGGTCTTTTCCTCTGTTCTGGAATCTCTGCTGCTGCTTTCACTTGCAGAATTGGGTCTCCTTGTGTTGGCATTGTTTCTTAATTGCTGTAGTGGGTCCAGTGTCAGGTTAGGTGGCTCAGTCTCTGCTGGTTCACTTGCCTCTCTACTCTGGCTCTGCCATTCATGTTGGATATTTAACCTTAAACACTGCCGGAGCCATTTATTTAAACAGGGTTCCCTTGCTGTTGTGGCCTGCTGTGCGGCAAGTTCCTTGCAGCTTGAGCAATACAGGAAAGGATTTGTTGCTTCACAGTTACCAAGATATTTGCAGAGGCAAAGACCATCTAGGATACATCTAGATGGGAATTTACCATGTGGAATGACGACTCAAATGACTGTTCTTGCTATCCAATCCAGGCATCATGTATTTAGTGGGCCCTGTCTCCGTGATCTGGATCTTTCTACTACGTTTCCCTCTTCCTGCTGTCACACTCTGTGCCTGTTTCTTACTTCCCCGTAGAGTGCTTCTATAATTGGAGAGCTGCTCCTGGATCACAGGGTTTGAACTACAGCTGCCAGATGTCCCTTGTGTTTGGAATTTTTGTCGGTTTAACAGTAGCAACAGGACACAAGTCCTTGACTGTGAGTTGGCAGTAAATAAAGACAAAATGACGTTTTTGGCACTGTGGAGGAGAAAACTTCCTTTCAGTTAGAAGTGACCAGGAAAGTTATCAAGAAAAAACTTGGACATTGAATATGGTTCTTTCCTGCCCTCCCCCCGCCCCCCACCCCAACACATTGCCCTGTGTAGGAGGCAGAGGTTGTTTTTAGTACAGCCAAGACCTGACCTCTTTCATTGCTTCCTTAAATACTGCAGGACTAGTTGATCTGAAGCAAACTACCTTAAGGCCTGTCCTGGTTTCGGCTGGGATAGAGTTAATTAACTCTATCCCAGCCGAAACCAGGACAAGGACATAGCCTTGGTGCTCTGTGGAATGGCCTTCCCTATACCTGGTGACTGCCTTCCAGGCTTCATAAATGCCTTTGAAGGATAAATTGCAACCTCTTGTGGAAACCTGGTGTGGTATGTTCTCCTTAGCATCCCAGACAGATAGGTAATGGATTTGTGCTCTGTTCTGTTGTAGGACATGGATCCTCACTGTATTCATGGAGTACTGCTTCTGGTTGAAAGAGATGTGACTTTTCGGATGGAGAAGCCACCTGCAGGACAGGTAATGGAACCATTCATGTAGGGATTGCTGGGGAGCTCTTGATATCCTCTACTTAACTCTGAACAGCAAGTTCTCTGTCTGCTGATGTATGTTTATTCTCACATGAAATCTCTGTAGTTGTTCTCTGTATTTTATGGTTGTGGTCTCTTATGGGTGTGGTATTTATAGGGTTGTAAAGTTTATACGAGCTGAACATATCTCTTTTGTGCTGTGTTTATTGCCAAATCCATTGGTGACATTTGTGCCTCAATTATGTGAGTCTGCTGGGGCCCTCAAGACACAGGGGATTTGGGAACATAGATAGCTGTATGGAGGAACTCTGCCCAATTAACAGTAATAGAGATGCTTTTCACGTTCTCCTGTTAACAAGGGTGGAAGTCCTTGGTCAGGAAGAGATCACATTAGGCTAAATCCTGAACACCATCCTTTGAAGGTACTTGTTGCCTTCTTGGATTTTGCATATCTTCCTCATAGCTGCTGCTGTCAGTGGCTAAGATTTCTGCAAGAGGGGGAAGAGGAGGTGTGCATGTGTGTGAGGTTGCCTTTGCAGCTGCAATGTCTGGGAAGACTAACAGGAGGTGCTAATGAAGGAGGTAAAATCATCATAGAATGCTTTGGGTTGGAAGGGACCTTTAGGGGGTCATCTAGCCCAATGCCCCTGCAGTGAGCAGGGACAGCTTTAACTAGATCAGGTTGCTCACAGCCCCAGCCAACCTCACCTTGGATGTTTCTAGGGATGGGGTCTCCACTACCTCTCTGGGCAACCTGTTCCAGTGCTTCACCACCCTCATTGTAAAAAATTTCTTTCTTATGTCTAGTCTAAATCTATTCTTCTTTAGTTTAAATCCATTGTTCCTTGTCCTGTCACAACAGGTCTTGCTAAAAAGATTGCCCCCATCTTTCCTACAGGCCTCCTTTAAGTACTGAAAGGCCACAATAAGGTCT